GGCAACCTAATTGACCTTAATATAAATGTTCCCAGCCACATAAAACATGTTGTGAAGTGCACAACAGCAGTCGCAGTTGACTGCCAGCTGCCATCACACTATGTGTATGCAATTTATTCCTCCACAAACCCTCTTGAACATAATAAATAACAAAGTCTTTCTTAGAAACCTCCCAACAGTCAGCACACAGGGTACCAGTGGCACATTTTAATGACTGCAACAAAAGAAAAAATAGAAAGAAAGAAAAGAAAAAAATATATGCCAGGCTTTTAAAACAAGAGCCTACCTTCTAAGATAAAGACACTCTTTGATGTGAGCCTAAAAGAAGGTCTCCCGCCTACCTGGAGTCTATTTGGATTGTGTTCCTTTACATTATCTGCACAATTTAATATGAGACAACCAGAGGGGAAAAAACCGCATTATGAAAAGGGAACAGAGTTTTAGTTTTCTCTCTGCCTTCCTTATGCTGAGGCTCCTTGAACACCCCACTTACTTTCTGGATGTTAGTTTATACATTTGTTAAATGGAGAATATAATGCTTGCATGATGTCTTTCCAAAAGCTGAGAGAAATTGACAGAATTAGTAATATGCAAATTCTCTGAGTAGGTTTAAATAATTGTGCAAATATCAGAGAATAGCAGTAAAAATATTTTCTTTCGGATCTTGGTATCCTCTTTCTTTCTTTATTTTTTACCTTTGATCTGAGTCAATAATTTGCTGTTGGGTCACCCATATTTTCCTAAAGGTCATGTTTAATGAGTAACAAATCAGGCACAAAAAAAAAACACCCAGATCTCAAACATGTCCTACAGAGAGGCTCTTCACCCAAGTTTGTGCTTAAACTCAACATCTTGACAATCCTAGTCAGGTGAGAACATCTTAATCCATTCAAAATTTTTTAACCTAAAATTTATTAAGATAATTGAAAAATTGATTGAGAACCACTGGACTCAAGAGCCAACAACTAAATGGAATGTCTTAGGTGTTAAGAGGTGTGCACATCTACATGCAAAGACACTGCAGAATTCCCAGGGCGGGGGGGCGGGGTGCTAGTTATGCTTTACTAGGAACTTCGGAAGAAACCATAAACCTGTGGAAGGTGAAAAACAATATTTTCCTTAAGCCATCCAGGATCCCTTTGTCATTGACCTTTGACTCTTTTATGTCTACCCATCCTATTTTTATCTTATGCTGTTCTATACCTTGAAGCTAATCTCTAGTCAAGGTCTTTGCTACTCCTTAGTTATTATTTAAATTGTGATCCACTTGTTTGGAGCTCCCACATTTATGTGTGGGTGCATGCTCTACTCAATTTCTTTATAAGAAAGTATGTTCTCCTATACTTTTGCAAAATGCTGGCTACCTGTTTCATTTCTTCTGTGGGATACCTTTCCTCCTTCAAAAGGTGCACAACCTAAATTGTAAATTAGAGTCATTCGGGTTCTCAACCTTAGTAAAAACAAGTATTCTCATGTTGATAACGGTCATTTGCCTCCAAACAGACCAAGAGTTTCTGGTGGTTTTAGTTACATGGCCAGTTTCTTTGATCACCTTTCCTGTGGATTCAAACAGAAAGTGAAAACTTCATGTACAAATCAACTACTTAAAGCTCTCTTCCAACTCCTGTCAAGCACGAAACACTACGTTTTAAACAAAGTCACTAAGTCATGTTGACTATACCCAGAGAAAATGCATTGAGAAAACGAACGTCGGGACGGGCGCGGTAGCTCATGTCTGTTATCCCAGCACTTTGGGATGCCGAGATGGGTGGATCACGAGGACAGGAGTTCAAGACCAGCCTGGACAATATGGTGAAACTCTGTCTCTACTAAACACACACACAAAAAATAGCTGGGCATGGTGGCAGGCCCCTGTAATCCCAGCTACTTTGAGGCTGAGGCAGAGAATTGCTTGAACCTGGGAAGCGGAGGTTGCAGTGAGCTGAGATCACGTCACTGTACTGCAGCCTGAACAACAGAGCCAGATGCCATCTCAAAAAATAATAATAATAATAAAATAAAACAAACAAACAAGCAAATAAATAAAAAGAAGTATAATTGAAAAGAAAATAAATATAAAATACAAAACAAAGGGAAGAAAGAAGTAACACATTGGGGTGAGGAGAATATAAAGAAACAACAAGATAAAACAGCCCCTGGTGGATGTGTCTTCTTCCCAAGTAGCTGTGAAGCAGGAAGGCCTGGGAAAGGAGGAGGATGGATGGGAGAGCTGCGAGTTTTCATGGTTCTATTTGAGTCACATCTTCATAGAGGCCTTCGTTCCTTCATTTGAACAAATAAGTTTCTAAACATTGACAATTAAGCTTTGCTAACATTTGTTAAGCATATCAAAATTAAAAATGTAAACTATATGCAATTATTCCCTCATTTTGTTTTCCTTCTCTATGACATTTCACTGTCTAATCCTATTCTTCCAGGTCCAATGACAATCATTTTTCTCTCAAGAAGTATTTGGATAATTTTTCTTTTTATCAAATTTTAATACTGTAAATATTAAAAGAACAACAAGAGAAATAAGTACAGTTTATTTATTTAATATTATTTTTTTGAGACAGAGTCTTTCTGTGTAAGCCAGGCTGGAGTACAATAGCACAATCTTGGTGCACTGTAACCTCCTGCTCCCAGGTTCAAGCAATTCTCCTGCCTCAGCCTCCCAAGTAGCTGGGATTACAGGTGCCTGTCACCACGTGCAGCTAATTTTTGTGTTTTTAATAGAGACGGGGTTTCACTGTGTTGGCCAGGCTGGTCTTAACTCCTGATCTCAAGTTATTAACCCTCCTTGGCCTCCCAAAGTGCTGGGATTACAAGCACGAGCCACCACGACTGGCCTGTGCAGTTCACGTTGACTGTATTTTATTATTTCCTAAATGTTGCCTGCGGATTAGGATAGATTGTGAGAACCTTCATATAAAATTTTGATTTAGAACAAAGTACATGATGAAGTAACAGGTTAGCAATATCCCTTTTTGGATATGGGGCAATATATTGAGGATACTATATATATGCTACTTTTCTTGGTTCTTCTTCCCTATCTAAAAGATGAAGGAAAGAAAAGAGAAAATAAAAAATTAGAAAGGGGAAAATAAAAGACATTGATTAAAAATTACTTTTTTTCAGAAAAGAGGCCCAATAATTTAAATACATTATGCTTTTAATTATCCACCAATATGAGAAGAACCATTATTGTTGGCCCTAAGAAATAAGTGGCTTCATACAGGTTAACTTGTATAGAGTCAGGTTTCTATTTGATTCAGACTGTCATTTGTTTATTGATATAGTAACAACATGAATAATTTGAAATATGCTGTTTAGTGTGGTAGCCACTAGCCTCATGTGGCTATTTAAACTAGTTAAAATTAAATAAAAGTAAGAATATACTCTGACACTTGTGTTAGCCACAATTTAAGTGTTCAATTATCATATCTGTCAAGTAGTTACAGTAATGAATAGGAGATATATAGACTATTCCTATCACTGCAAAAAAAATTCCACTAGAAAGAGCAGTTGTTCAACGTAGGCTTTTCGTGGGTCAGAAACAATCTATCTCCATTGATTTCTGTGAGGCTTATCGCTGCACATACATTGTTATTTCCTATTCTTCTTTGAGGAAAATATTTTACCAGACAAATAAAAATTGCTGATCAAGTTTTGATTTTTTTAATGCTGAGGAAAATAGTTATAAAATATTCAGGTCCAAATTCTTGGTAGACTTTTGTAAAGTGATTGGTGACATTTATGGGCGCAGCTGGTTTGCAGTTGTAAAACCTTATATTTTTAATGCAAAATAGCATCTGTGCCTGCTAATTGGATACTTAGGCATACAAACATAAATTGCCTGGGAATTAGAAAGGTGTATTTCTTAAGTCTGCCCATATCTTGCCATTTTGAGAATCACTGCTTGGATTCACTTTTCCTCCATGTTATTCTTGTAGAGTGGGTGGGAAAAAGCCTTCTTCTTGTTATAAATATTGCCCGTTGGGAAAACATGCTTCCTCCTCCTAACCCAGTTTTTATCCTTTCAAGCTCTGAACTCAGAAACCACTGTGTGTGTTGTAGCTACTATTCGAAATAAGTTTGAGCTTTGTGATCACTGCCACACGTCTGGTGAGAAAGGAAGAATCAAATTTGTAAATGCCACTGGCAACCCTGTCTTAGGGGTTGGATTCAAACTTAGCTATGAGGCCACAGAAAAGCAGTCAGGACAAAACCTTGCTTAGCCTGTCTTCGAACACTTTAGTTCTCTGCTGGTATTGTCTAGTTTGCAGTGCAATGGCAACAGAATTGAGGGGTATTCTGTTACACATTTCATGCAAAAGTTTATTAAATCTTCCCTCATAATTTTTGAAAGCCCTAGAAAAGATGACTTGGACTCCAGAGATTATACTTCTTCTTCCATCCATGATGGTTGCTTTGTCATTCTTCCGTGCACTGGCAATTTCCATTAGAAAGCTTGCTAACCTGGTATTGAAAATTATAAACCATGATCAAAAGGTGAAAAGGGCCCCCCCACACTGATCTGCAGTAAAGCCTATACCAGCTATCTGGGAAGAAAAGAAAGACAAGATGGTAAACACCAAAGTGTGGTTATATCTGCCCTTTTTATGTTAGCATTACAAAGTGTGAAACATGAATGCAAAGAAAGAGAATAATTTTCAGAGATTTAAGCCCTTCCGAATAGAAAGCTTTGGTTGCAGTTTAAGGAGCCTTTTCACCTCAAGGTCATAGCTCGAATTTCATCTGGATTTATGTATAGTGTTCACCTTCAATTATTTTTTTAGCTCTTACTGCAGTAGTGCTTCCTTCCTTGCATTGCATATACTGTTTATGCCCTTTGGGCCTTTTGCACGTTTGTCCTGGATATTTTGTCTGCTTCTGTGGCTAATACAGACTGATTTTTAAAATCAGCTGATTGCGTTATAATGGATGGATTTATCTTCTTTCTTCCTTTTTTCATCCACATATAATCATGTTGGAATCAGACTTCCTGTTCCTTGATGCTCAAGAGAGGGAGAAAAAAAGACAAGATAAGTCTATAGTGGACCTTGGCACTTGGAAATGTAAGTTCTGTCTTTTACCTATTTTCAGAAAGTGTAGATATACCAAAGTGAGAAAAATCAACTTTTTAAAAAATCCTTTTATTGAATATCTAAAATATACATATATGGAGAAAAATTACTTAGGCACATGTACACAAACATATTTTTTAAGCAGATGGTCTCTATATGCTCAGCTAAAGAATAGCAGTAATTTTTATTAGCAAATATTAATTATGAACTTACTATGTAAAAGGCACTGCCAGGAACTGTAGGTGATAAAGATTCTAAACCTTCTCTTAATTAATTTGTTTAATTGGAAGAAACATATATTTCGGCAAAACGTAATTAAAGTGCAGAGGAACATGATGACAAACAGGTAATATATAACACCTTTTTCAGAAACTTACAGTGACAGAAGGATATTATAGGCTGGTTGATTAGGGAAGACTTCAGGCAGGGCAAATAAATACAGCACAGGAATGAGATAGGCAGAGAAAGTAAATGGTAGAACATTGTGGAATGTTAAAGTTGAAAATGTGCATGGGGTGGGCTGTGAAAAAACTAAAATGATTGGCATGAAGCATGATCCCTTATATGAGAGATTTGAGAAATTTCAAGCAAAATTGAGACAGCACTTCTTTACCTTCATATACATATACATATACATATACATATACATATACATATACATATACATATACATATACATATAGTCAAGTCCTCCCGACTTCTTGCCAACTAATAAAAGGCTGCAGGTATAGGGTTTGTAGCCCTATTCTGCAGAATCTACCACCCTTGTCCCTAAAATGCTGAGATGGTCTTTGAAGGCTGTAAGATGCAGAGTCCCGCTGAGGATCCCAGCAAAGGACGAGAACCAAGCCTAACAGTGCTCAAATTATGGTTTGGGGCTTTAACATTTTTCTTTCCTTTTCTGTTAGAGCCATCAATTGCCTTCTACAGACATTGAATTCACTTACGAAGTTTAAACAGAAATAAAGTGGAATGCAATGATCAGGAAATTCCATTTGGCTTTTTTCTCCCTTTCATCATTTTGTTGAACGTGTGCAGAACTATATGAGGTTATTCATTTGTACCCAAACAGGAATATAGGATTTGCCATATTGGATTAGTCCATTGGTCCATCAATGTTGTATCGTCACTGCCTCTGGCACCAGATGATACATGAAGCACCAGAGGAGAGCGAACTCCCCCCATCCCCACAAGGCAGCAAGTCAATTGTGCAGTGCAATATATGGGGTGAAAGTCTCCACTGCTCAGGGTGGGACTACATAAATGAAATCTGGATTTGCAGATGTTTAACAGGGCAGAGGCTGCATCCATTGAAGACAGACTTAGGCAGTTCTTACCTTTAGAAAGTGTGTCCAGTGTCTCTGTGTTCACTTGTGTTAGAGTTTCTCTCTTCTTTTTTTCCATTGGAAGAACTAGTATTTATCTTACAATAATAAACTGAAACAGTGGAATCAAACAGCCCCATTCCTGAGAGATAGAGACAACACTCTATAATAACTGACACATTGCTGCTTTCTTTCTGGTGAAAGCATAAATGTAGTCAAAACCAGAACTTAATGTAATATCTCAGGATGTGATGCCCTCCTCCTTCCCATTGTAATTATTACAAAAATCTATAGTCTGTTCAACTTCTTGGCCTATTCACTCATTCAGTCACCAGGGAAAAACTAGACGATACTGTGTGAAGGTCTGACCAACATAAAGGATGCGACAAGGATGCCCCAAGACTCAGGATGTTGGGAAGTTAAGGCACCAGGAGTAACCAGAATGCAGGTAAGAACAAGCTCTCTGCCACAAGTGCAGTCCAACTGGAAAAATGTATCACTCGGAGACATGAGAGGCCAATTCTAGCTGGAATGATATGAAACACAATGCTGCCACTTTCTTCATGAGGGGAATGTGAACGAAATATAAAATAATTAATCTGACATTCCTCAGAATCCAATATTTGTGCAATTTAAGAAATATTCTTAGTTTTAGCAACAAATTACAGGGTGAGAATTGTGTTGACGTGTAGATAAGGTACAGTTTCCTGATCTGAATAGTAATATTGTAAGATTATTTCTAGTTTTCCTAGTGATTTTTAACTACGAAGCTTCAGCCCAGACCTGTTGATAATGATTATAATAACGATGGGAGGTCTGGCTATATAATCTCTGAGGCTTAATGCAAAATGGAGCTGCAGGGTCTCAGTTTAAAAAGCAGGAAAAATGTGACCATAACTTAGTGTAATATAAAGTTTTCCCTTTATTGCAGGTCTGTTGATTGACTTACCATGTTTTTTTTATTTGCTATTTAATGCCATTCTTGAAACATTGAATTTAAATAATTAGCATGAATTTTACTATTCATCTTTATATTGTACAATGCCAGTTTTAAATTCAAATGTAAGAACATTTAAATTGTATGTGGAATCACCAGAATTGCACAATATGTATTTCAAGGACATATATTCATATGTATTTGGTTCTAACCAAAACAATGGAGACACTGCACAAAACTAACTCAACTGTTTGTTGATAGCTTGTACTTTTCGATACTCTTACATTCCACCAATACTCTCTATGTGTTGCCCTAACTTTCTCTTTCCAACTAAGGCAGTATTTTCAGTGTAAGTTGTTAGCTGAAATACAAGGAAGTGACTTGTGTAAGGAAAGATACGACAGGCATCCTCAAGTGTTCATCACTCTTAGACTGCCCACGTCTTAATTCTGCATTCAAAGCAAATTGTGGTTCAAATGGAAAGTGTGGCCTCTTGGGAACAGTGTGGCCCCACTCAGTAGTAGATGTTACACACTTACCTTGTACTTCTGAGTCTCATTGCACTCCAGTTCACTTCAGGTCCTTTGGAATTCTGTGCTCTTGGTAACTTGTAAATTTTAAATGCAAATAGTTAGCAAGGAAGGTAATCCCACATGTTGAGAGAATCTCCTCTGCACACATGCTTGCTCCATTTTCCCATTGAACGTCACAAATAAAACTCAAGTTCAAAGACAAAATGTATTATGAATTCCAAACAGTGACAATAGGACATTAAACCAAATATGAACCGCTTTTAAGACAGAACTGTGTTTGACGGCACAGGTTGTAAGCCTAGGGAGCTGGCTCTGAGTCATGACACAAGTGAAATGCCTCATACTATTGAATAGTCAGTTTATACCTGGCTGTTTGATATAAGCCATCTTCTATGCATTTTATCTTTAATTTTCACAGTGGCTTAGATTTGAATCCAGGACATTTGGGTCCAGAGTCAGGGTATACTAATCCAGGTTTCATCTAATCCATATTCACAAATTATTTTCATTATGAGGTAAAATAAATTTAAAAGTGCATGATGGGACCAGGGAGAGGTTTGGTGCAAAATTTTTTAAAGATAGGCTGAAAACCTACTGTTTCAGGAAAAACTGAAACCGTTTTTCCTCTGTTCTCATATTACATAATAATCATCACAGAAGAAAAACAACACAGAAGTCTTCTGTGATCAAATGGGAGAGTTCCCCCTACATGCCAAGCAGCAGACACCAGCAGGGTGCCTTCCAATTTAGTTTTGACATTACCTGGAGATAGAGTCAGGTCCCACATGTTGAGGGCTCAGTACCGACAGCTCTCCCCGCACCCCAAACAACAGTTACAAGTTTGGCCCTTTGGAACATCTGTACAACCTGCTCTAGGTTGGGGTTTCCAGGACCCCTTATTTGGGGGGTTTGATTAATGTGCTGGAGGAGCTTACAGAACTCAGGGAAATACATTTACCAGTTTATCATAAAGGATATTACAAAGCTTACAGATAAAGATAGGATGTGGCCTGGAGAAAGGCGTAAGGAACTTCCAAGCCCTGCCTGCGTGCACCACCCTCTATGAACCTCCAGATGTTTAGCTACCCAGATTCTTCCTAAACCTACTGCTCTTAGGGTTTTATGGAGACTTCATTACACAGGCATGATGAAAACTTATATAGAAATGTGATTGCACAAAAAGGGTATGATCTCAACCCAGCAAGGCCTGTCTGTTCAGACTTTTCTTGGCATCTCAATGTAGCATTCTTTCCTAGAGGGCAAGTTGGTCCAACTCATGGCCCGCAGGCCGTGTGCAGTAAGGATGACTTTGAATGAAACCCAACACAAACTTGTAGGCTTTCTCGAAACCATATGAGGGTTTTTTTTTTTTTTTAAATAGCTTATCAGCTATCTTTAGTGTTAGTGTATTTTATGTGTGGCCCAAGACAAGTCTTCCTTTTCCAGTGTGGCCCAAGGAAGCCAAAGATTGGACACCCCTATTATGGGGTATGCAATAAGGATCTTTCAACCTACAATAGATTAAGGTCCTGCCTTTGGCAGATGAAAGAAAGAGAGCAGAAGGTCAGAGAGAGACAGAGACACTGTTTCATGAGACCTGCTCCTGGAGCCCAAAGTTCTCCAAGCTTACATCAAATTACTGTAACAAGTGCTCCCTCTTTCTCTTCTCTCTCTGTCTATCACACCTGCTATGACAAGAATCAGAGATACTTGAGGACTAGAGAGTGGGTGAGTTTGCCTTCTAAATAGATATGAGATTATGCAATGTGAATATCAAACATTTTCTTCTGACCAGATGAAAGTGGTTGAGACTACAGGGAGGCCCCTGTCTCTTTGTCTGTATATATGTGTATGTGTGTGTTGTAATATCTATGCCTTTTAAACTTAAACACCAGATAGAACATTTTTAACATTAATGCCTTATTTTTAAACTCATGGGCCCTGAAAGTCCATGTAAGCCTCCTTGTTGTGTAGAAAAGTAAAATATATACTACACAGATGGAGGAATAAAGTATTCAATAATAACATCTTGTTTAAGCTTACTTTTCAGGTAAGTAGCAGGACCCATATTTACTCTCTGTTGTGGCTGAATAATGTCCTGGAAAACTGATGTCCACCTAAAATCTCATATTATGATATTATTTGGAAATAGGATATTTGCAGATGTAACTATTTAAGATGAGATCATACTGGGTTAGAGTGGCCCTAAATTCAATGTGATTAGTGTCCTTATAAGAAGACTTACAAGTGTCTCTTTAGACAGAGACACACAGAGAGGAGGATATCATGTGAATATGGAGACAAAAATTGGAGTGATGCCTCTACAAGCCAGAGAGTGTCAGGGAGTGCCAGCAACCATCAGAAGCTGGGGGAGAGGCATGGGATGGATTCTCCCTTTGAGGCCCCAAGAAGAAATACATTCTGATGACACCTTGGATTCAAATGTCTAGCCTCCAGAATTGTGAAAGAATAAATTTACATTGTTTTAATCCAGCCCAAGTTAGTGGTGATTTATTATAGCAGTCCTAAGAAATTAATCCAGTATCTCTTAGCTGGACAACATTACGCATTGGTAATAGTTTAGGTCACACATAATTAAATTTGTATTTGACTCACTGTCTAAACAGGATATGTTTCATGAAGACAGTGGCTGATTTTACACTCTGGTCTATTTCATATAGAAAAATGTATAGTGCCTGGTTGGAATGTAAAATTTTTGTTTACAAGTAAACAAAAAATAAACCCAAAATTCTAAATGTTGAACTGATTCATTAATTAAACTGTAGAACCCAACAGTAAGGAAATATATAGAGAAAGTCAAAGCGATTATATTAGGACTGAGATCTACTTTATAAAAATGTTATGCAAGAGTATCTAGCTGCATGGATGGATGGATTTCAGAGCGTCTTATAAAATGCATGCTAGAGAGAGCTTGATCATACATAAAATCCTGAAAGGTTTGTAACTTCTTCTAGTTTATTATTGTTATTACATGTCTCTTTTTCTGTCATGATTAGCACTGAAAGTCTCAAATGTAAAACATGTATATGTTTGTTTCAAGAAGAGTAGGGCAGGGGAGTGGAGGGAAGCAGGAAGCTAGGGAGACTGCTGCCCATCTCTGAGTTATTCAAGGAGAAGGAGCTTGAGAGGGTGAGTACTCCCAATCACCGAGACAGGACAGTCAAAGTCTCTGCAGTTCATGGTACAGAAAGAAGCAGTATGTGTATGTGCATTTGTATGTATCTGTTGTGGGCCTCACAATAGACCCAATATCTTAATATTAACTGCCATTAGCTTTCTCTCATATCCAAGGGACCAGATGGCATATTGCTAATCTAGCAGAAATGAGCTATTTCTCTACTTCTGTCTTCACTTCCTTTCTTATTTGCAATCCTATTTCTAAAATATATACTTTCTTTTTATCTGTTCTGTCTAGCATTGCTCGACTCCTGGTACGTTCATGAATCTTATCCTTGACCACATAAATACATACAGATAGATCAGATTGCCCAGGACTCAAGACTCTGTCAATTGCTAAATTAAGAAGGAAAAATCAAGGCTTTATTAGTAGATATACAGAGAGCTTACAACGAAATATGTGTGTGTGTGTGTTGACAGAGCAAAAGAGGAAGAGAAAGAGAGAGATAGAGAGAGGATCAGAGGCTGGGGGAAAGTTAGTGTCAAAGGTATAGAAGGTATACAATGAGCCATTCATGCTCAGAGCCAAACAATAGATCTAAACTGCTCAAGAGTCATCATTTTAGATACCTTTGTAAATGCATAGAGATTTCCATTCTTTAAAATGGTCTACTGATTTAAAAAAAAATTTATTCCTACAAAAAACAAGATAAAACTTAATTATAGACTGTCTTGAGTTTTTTAGCAAAAATAATGTTTAAGGCATAACAAAAGTATCTAACTATTCTGGAAAAATCATAAAACCTCAGCACACAACAGAAAATTTGCCTGTGAAAACAA